ACACACACACACACACCCTTGCTTCCGCTAGTCACTAGTTTTATGGCTGTTGTATCAAGTTCTCAGTTTGATGCACAGTGTGCTACTGAGCTCTTTTTCACAAAATATGTTCCCGGCACCCGGTTTTGTCTCCAGACGTTTCATCTTACTGTTGCCCCTGTTCCCATCTCCCACAGTTTCCTGGTAGAGTAAAACCGCTGCTGGATTCGATTGCGCTCATGGATTTCCCATTTGCACCCTTGCTTTTCTGCAATTCGCATTAGCGGTGATTGGAGATGTCAAGATTGAAACAATACTCAGGACACATTGCGCTTGATTTTGATGCTATCCACAGCAGGGTTTCGTATTATAGAACGTACTGCCGACTCTAGCACATGTGGTCTCGCCCACTCCAATCACACTCCCGGTTCCTCTAAGAGGCTGGCGCGGGAAAAGGACGGCGTAACGCGGTGGCTCGTTGGACTCGACACCATCGTGTTTCATCCGTTTTGCCATATGGCCCTACTGGATTGTTGGGGGTAAACCCTGGGTCGCTGGAAGAGCGAGTGTTGTGCTTTTGTTTGAGTTGTTTCCTGAAGCATCGCTAGAATGAACACACATTGACAAAACAAAACTCCGATCTTTGATTTGCGCCCATTGGAAGTGGATCGGCATTCGCACTGGGCTCCTGGAGACAGATCTGCATTCCCGTGAAGCTGTGGTTCAGAGGCTGCAGCAATTGACAAATTGTGTCCAGTAGCGAAACATGGCGCTCGCATGGGCCTGGTGCCTAGATGTGCCTAGGGTGAGTTTGCTATGTGTTCAAAAAATCTTCAGATGGCTCCACGGCCGAAATGAAGCATTTTGGCTTGTTGTATGGATTCAGTTTGCAATTAGTAACAAGTGTATCGCTACTAGTAACAATGCACTTGTTGCTGGAATTGTTGAAATTAGAGTAATTAGAGGCCTCGCAAGACATTTGTGAGGAGGGAGCATTGAGCATGGCCTCACACCCAGCCCACAGCTTGTCCCAAGGTGCGTCTTCGGTGCGTGGTTTCACATAGAACATGCATGCTTCTCAACCCCTTCGAAGGACAGATTGAATTGAGATCATTTGGTTTCTTGAGACTGCCTCGCCCCAGCTGCCAACCATCTTCCAGCTGATGCAGCATGCATTTTCTGCGATGGACATGCCTTCTACTTCAAATCATCGACGTGCAGGGATTGGCGCTGGATTATTTGGAGACTCGACGCTTTTCATTCCCGGTCGGGTTGGGTGCGTGGTGGGATTTTCCAATTCATTCCAGTTCCCTTTCTCCGTCAGGTCGCGACCGTCGCGTTCGCCGAGGAAATTGGCACGGCTGATTTCGACACACTCGCTCAGCAGCTGCATGGAACGGAAGGTGTGGCTGGACTCTCCGTCGAGCCGGTGGAGGTGGGAATTCAGTGGGTTCCAGAAATCATTGAATTCATAAATTGATTTTTAAGATTTATTCCAGGATTCCGTTCTTGATTTACTAAGCATTTATCAAAACGGAACGGACTCCTTGGATGATTTTTTTCTCCGCAGCGAGTTTCACGGCCCATGACCACCTCGCCCCATTGAACGGTCTGATAACGGCCTGCAGATGCTGTGGCCACTTTGGCCGCCAGTTCCTTCACCAGTGTCCTCATGGGGATGGACATGGGGACGCTTGAAAAAGCTATCTTTGAAGTGGCTACAAAACTCCCATGTCCTGAATCTTCCTGACACGGGAAACAGTTCTTTTGACCGCCCCAAACAATGCGGGTTCTGCCTTTTTGGGACACTAGGACATCTTTGTCACAACTACACCCGTCAGGTTGCGCAGACTGCAGGTGTGAATGGGTGTGAACGTGTGTGAACTCATGGACTGCAGGGTGATAACTCAGATGCCACTCAGTCTCGGGAGCGTCCTTCTCGACTCTGCGTCCTTTGGCGTCGTCTCGACCCGCAGAGTCGCGCTGGCCCCTCGTTTGGAAACACCGAGAAGAGTCCAAAACGGCTGCACACCAGTTCAAAAACATTCAGACCGTTTCCATTCGTTTCCAAGACTGCCCACTGTTATCTTGGAAGCATCCTGTGAACCTTCTTTGTTTGGATGGGCAATCGGGAATCCTTGTACCTTCAAAAGATCTCTCTTTTTTTTTTCTCTCTCTCTCTCTCTTTGCTGATGAAACACAAGCAATCGTCCACTTGAGATTGTAAAATTAATGGTGTGTAAGTGTATCATTGACTGTTTGTGCTGCAGAATTTTGTTGCCCTGATGCACATTTCTTCCTCTTTCTGACTCTGAGACAGTCTGAGACTCTGTGTCACAATGAAAAAGGCCATGTTTGTCTCCGAGGTGATGCCGTGTTCCCCGAATTGATTTCAATTCCACGATTCGAGCGGCTCCAGGAGCACTTCCAACGGCTCCCAGAACGGCCCCCACTGTTGCAGAAGCTGCGTGCGGCTGTTGCGGAGGCCGACGGCGAAGCTGAGCTCTACGTGGTGCGGCAGGCGGTGACCCGACGGAAACGGCATGAAACGGCTGATAGCAAACTACTGATGAAACAGATTCAGTTAGCAACTAGCAACACACTTTTTCTTTTGGATATATATATATATATATATATAAGTGACTATTAGTGTTTGGCGACATTCCACAATGGTGCACGTGTCGATCCTTAGAGGCGGAGCGACACGATGTGTGATTCTCAGTGCAAAAGAAAGTTACACAGAAGCAAAAGAAGGATGTCGCAACGGGGTGCTTCTTCGAAAGACTTTAATAACAACTAAATGCATACAATTATAATCAGTCATGTTTAACATTTATATATACATATTCCTGAACATTATATATTTATAGGCTTAAGGAGACTGGTCAACCGCCCTAGAGATTGGAGGTTTTCCTTGGAAACAATTGTGATTATACAGTGTAGATTGAAGGGACACAGACGGCTGCAGATTATGGTCAGCTGATGACTGATGACATTGGTGATCCCTGTCAAGCTACATGTAGGGCTGCATGGAATGTGTAACAGTCTTTGATGCCTTTAGGGCTACATGTCACTGTCCAAACCCAAGGACAAGGGTCAAATCACAAAACAACTCAACACGTGACAGGAGACATGTATCTCTCAAGATGACTACAGTAGTTTGAACGAGTGAACCCTCCAAACCTTCCAACTACTCCCCCCCACACCAGCTGGAACATCCAAAAGACCATACTACATTTATGAATTTATGATCATTTATGTCCTTGTCCCAGCTTTCATCAGTCTCCCAGATTTCACTGTAGCTACCGTGTTGACATCGGCGCGGAGCCGGGAGAGGAGTATATGGAGCCGCAGTGCAGCAACGAGACCGTGAGGGAACTGGGCTTGTCACCTGACCTCACCCGTCGTGCCGGGGATGTTGGTTTGGGCGTTCAGGGTGGGAATGGGTTAGAAAAATGATCCAACAAGAACACTTGGTTTGATCTACAAGTACAAGTATTAAATACATGTCCATACATGTCCATTTCTATCGCTTCTAATATGAATAGAAGTCGTCATCTAGTTTCGATTTGTCCTGCCACTTTGGGGCTGGTCTGGTGTGCCAAACAGCATCCAGAATATCGTTCACCATGTTGACCTTCCATGTCGGATCCAACTTTAAGTTTTGGGCTAGTTCTTTGGTATCGCGCTGCTTGGGCATGGCGTCAAATGCACCAGCAGCACAACCGCCAATTGCAGCATGGCCTTTCTTGTGCTTTAGATCTATTCAATCATCAAAAATGACAGACACTGATGCAAACTCTATTGGTTATAGGATTCCACTGAGTTCGAGACAGAAACAAATTAATCCGATTCACAGTGAAACCTGGCACTTCCAAATTCATAGGGGGACCGACCCGTGCTGAGTAGAGAATGTTCGAACAGTTTCACGGCCACAAAAAGGATCAAAAAGGACCAAAAAGGCTCAGATGCCGGACTTGGATCCCAGCCTCATTCTATGCGTTTTTGCATCCAAACGCCTCGACCGAGGCCTTACTGTCTACCCTGGTGGTTCAGAGCCACGGCGAGCCTCCACCGTCCTGCGGCCTTGGTCTCGGTGCATGCGGGGCCGAAAGCCCTCGAGGCGCAGGTCGGACCTCAGGGGAAGGCATGGGGGAAGGGGGACAAGCAGGGGACGAATGGATCCCACATTCAGCGGCAGGCCCTTGCGTGCCCTTACCATTCCCAGGGAAAGAGAAATCACACTTCCAGCATCTTCTAGCCACCCAATCAACCAGCCACCGTGAGTGGGTGGGTCAGGTGGCCATGAGGGTGCCCACCGTGAGCTATGCCTCGCTCATGCGCCGCTACGGCGTGACCCGCCTTCACCTTTTGAAGATCGACACCGAAGGCGCCGGCCACGGACCGATCGATCTCGGGCCTTTTCCGGCGAGGGCGAAGTGTGTATGAAGTGTTATGATACTCCATGTTTTCCGCCTTCTCACGCGGATTTCGAAAGGATCCCTGAAGCAAGGCTTTGATGTCTTCATCTTGAAGCAAATGCTCGCTTGGGGGGAGATGACTGGACAGTATCCGGAGCGCCTGCAGTTCGAGCGCAACAACTTGACTGACGTGCAGGAGTCTCAGCAAATCCTAGAAGCCCTGCAAGCAGCTTATGATTGCTGGATTCCTGCTGCTGAAGATGATGTGCAATGCCTTCGCCTGGGCGATTTGGCTGTTGGCCAACCATACGCCTCCAGCGGGGTATCGTTCCCCACCCCCTGGTGGCGCCTGCAGCTGCCAGATCGCCTTCAGGTGGCTGGTGTTCGCATCAGCTTAGAGGACAAGGACTCCTTGGTAGTAAAGGTTGGGGACTCGTTGGGAATTCACCTGAATCGCTTATGTGGGCCAGTTCAGAGCACCGAGACGGGTGCCGTGGTGGCACGTTGTGCTTTGGAAGGTCGCTATGTGATGCTGTTAGGAACCTCCCAGCCTCGGCAGGTGGAGGTCCTTGGACCACGGACGGCTTTCGGTGCTTTTCGCCTCTCGCTGGGCCAACGATGCTGTCATCGAGGGTGCAATAGTAGCGACACCAGCCTTTTCGAAGGCTACGACCCCCAGTGCGAGCGCCGCTGTCGGGAGGATCATAGCTGTCACTTCTTCACGAGCTTCAACTCACTTTGGTGCATCACCTATGCTGACTGCGAGGAGGAGCTTCCAGAGCGCGATGCTGCTAGTGTGACCTTTGGACTCTGGCCACGGGAGCTTTTGCCGCTGCCGATCCTGAGATCATCAGCACAGCAGTCCTCAGTGGATTGGGGAGGTGAAGCGCACCGGGCCATAGATGGCATTTTTGATCCGCATTTCTTGAGAGGCAGCTGTAGCCATACTGCCCAGGACGAGTTCGGCTCTGGTCCTCACACCTGAACTTCGGATGTTTTGGGGAACCACCCATTTGTAGGAAATGCGATTTGAATCGTTCCACACCCAAAGCACTGACTTTTTAATACTCTTCAAACATGGAAAACAATCTTTCACAAGTGCGACCACCAACTCACCACGTAGGTCAAACAGTCAGGATGCTAGCGTCGCTGGGTTGGGAGTATCCAAGCTCCATCAGTCATCAGCCCATTCACATCCTCTCTCGGCACCTTGAAATTCTGATTCGCTTCCACTGATGGAAGGTGTCCAATCTGCGATAGACGGTGCGATCATGTGTGAAATATAAGGTGACAAATATCTGGTAAGACCGGGAAGGATACCAAACGATGAAATCCCACTCACCTGGCTTAACCTTTCTTGACCTAACTTGCTCGATCAAGGAGTCCCAGAACTCCTGGTGGGCGGCTCGTGTGGACCCTGAGACCGCCACCGCCGTCACTGCCGTGCGTGTCTTGGGGCGCTGGGACTGCTGCCACGAGCGTTTGGATGGCTGGGAGGTGGGAGGGTGATGGGAGTGTCGAGTGCCAGGTCGGTCGGTGTGTGTCAAAGGACCAGAAGACCCGGTCCGATGGGGTTTCGTCCGCTTTCCCCGCTTTCCCTATTGTCCCTATTTCCACAGCTGACCTCAAGATACCTCAACATGTTGTATCATAATGTATCATATGATCATTGCTGGTCGAGACACACTCCCTCTGTATGCTGATGCCAGGTGAGGGTGGGCTTTGACCCTGACGTGCTTCGAAACCCTCGCTGCGGCACAGTACAAAGTCCATTGGCTGCGGGCGGACGACGCACCATACACTGCGGTCAAGCGATGGTCGGAGACATGGTGGGAGTGGTCCTACCCAGTGGAGAGCCATTGACCTTGTGTGAGGTGGAGGTCTTTGGGCCCTATCGTTGGTAAATTGGATCAGGATCAGACATTGAAGCCCGAGAGGTCTCCAGGATTTACTTCAGAACCTTGTTGCTGCTCTTGACCGAGTACTGGTTCTCCTTTGCGCACAGCTTCTGATCTTGTAGGTGCAAGAGTCAATCTGGACGAACGGTTCTTGGCCATCAGAGCCAAAGACAGCATGCAACAAGATGCAACAAGCACATAAAGATCATAAAGAGGTGTGCTGCATAGAACCCCGTTCTGGGGTCTCCACTAGATTATTCAAAATGATGGATCATCCTTTCGGATGTGCAAGTTGATTGATTCCAAAGTATTGCTATGCATCTCTGCCGTGCTGGCAGAGTTTCGCAGTCTCACAGCAGGCACCCCACAGCAGGAGCTTGCTTGTGAAGCCACGAGTCATCCAACCAAGGAATCACACTTGGTCCAAAGCTAGATCCCCAAAGTGCTGGAGCCTGCTTGTTGATGGTTGTAAAGCATGATAAAGTACAGAAAAGCAAAGACACGCTGGATACTACACTGGTGAGGACAGAGCCGTGTCAGCGGGTCCTTTTGGAGCCTTCTCGCCGCTTTCGAGCATCTCGCTCACCCAAACTTCTGTCAATTTCACCTCGGCAAGAACCAACAACTCAACATCAAGATCTCAACATCAAAGAAGTTCTACTTTGAAGCTCAGAGTTCTGAGACTTCGATCACCGGAGGCTTCGACCTCCTTAGTCACCGAGGCACTGGGCGCCGCCCTCGTGGCGCCCATCATGGCCTTAGAGGTGGGAAGATGGGTCACACGACTCTTCACATCCATGGGTCACACAGGTTCTGGGGTCCGCTGGATCGCTTGCAACTATTGTTCCAAGTATTGTTCCAGTTCCAGTGCCAATGAATTCGTGCCAGAAATATACGGTTGATTCTGTTCATGAACCAATTCCTGCATTGATTATTATTTTGGAGCCTGAAACACCGCAGGTGTATCAACATGTATCAACCATCCTTCTAGTCAGTTCGATCTGCACAAGGACCTGAAAAGGCTATCCATGCTGGACCAATTGACCCGATGACCCTGGTGAATAGTAGGAGAGTGATGATCAGGCGCGAGGGCAGCCAGTGCTGATGCAGGTTGTGTTGGGCTCAGAATTGCGGAACTTGTCAACAGACCTTGATATGAGGTAGCTTCATGCAGCTGCATCTCGTGGTGGTATGGTGCATAAGATGTGTGGTTTGCAATCTGGGCTGAAAAATAGACCATCCAAACCCAATAGTGAAAGGGATCACTAATTAGTAACCTGCGTGGCACTATCTTTTGGAGCCACCCATCGATAAATTGCAACGACTCGCTGCCCGATCTTTCCGCAGCTGTTTTCAGGAGGCGCGGACAGCCCAAAACGAGCTGCGTCCTGGCGTTTCGAGTTGGGAGTTGATTGAGGTCCTTCGCTCGGTCTGATGAGCAATCCGACCTTTGAAGCACAGAGTTTCCTTTTGACGCTGGAAGACGACCCCCCAAAAGACGCCAAAGTTATAAAGTTATGCAAGGTGTCAAATATTCGCCGAAACCATCCGAAACCAACGTGTGACCTCTCAATCACCTCCCGACTCCCGACCAAGTTAGAGTCGGCATTGTCGCGGAGTCCGGACGGTCCATTGGCCTTGAAGACTGGCGAACGCAGCGCCGGACAGTTTTCTTCGGACGACCCAGTCCTCCAGCCCATGCGGATTCACGTGCGTCTCCTGAGCGGGCGCCTGGCCTCGGTGGACAGCCTGGGCTGGGGCCCCAGCCCGTGGGCCGTGGGCCATGGTGGACCGGTGGTATCTGGTGGTATCCGGTGGCACAGGTGAACTGGATTGAAGAACGGTCGGTGGTGTTTCTTCTCAGAAAATGGACCTACATGCAGGAGATGGATTACATCATGTAGAACTGCGAGCACTCCAGCACTAGCAGTAGCATGGTCATTCAGAAATCATCAAAAATCTCAATCTTACAAATCTTACCCAATAGATTCTAAACCGAGACTTGCACCATCATTTTCCAGTGCATTCTTTTTTTCAGGTGACCTAGGACCTAGGGCCTATCGATGGTCTTTGGGGAGACCTAAGGGTCTCTTGTTTTTGACATCCATGGGAGCAGCGGGTGTTGTTGAGTTGTATTTGATTTTTTCATGAATACTGTATTATTTGTGTGTAATGAATAGTGTACAAGAATGCGTACAAAAAAGTAGCCGATGCCCTTAAGGATACATGATGTTTGCAACATGTAACCAATTAGATATTTTTGTATCATATCATGTATCCACTTGCACCCTTGTGCATACTTGACGTAAGAGCTGTGACCAGTTCAGCTCTTGAATGCGCGACTCCTCCCATCGCAAACCTGGGGAGTTGGAAGCATCATGCAGGTCCTGAGAGCTTCGTCTATGACTTGCGCCGCCGGGCGGAGAAGGATCTGCAAGTTGGCATCTCATCTCTGTCGTGCCGAAACGAAGCTTCTCATCCGCGAGAAGTGAGGGTATGGTAAAGGTTTCTGAAGATGGAATTGAACCGAAGGCGGGCAATAAATTCAATAAATACTATCATTCACCTCGTTGATCTTATAGAGCACTCTATAGAACCAAGGGCTCAAACTGATCAGGTTTTCGTCTCATGCATTGAGTAAGCCTCATAAGTGGAACTTATGAGCCTACTCATGCTGATCATGCACAATCATGCCATTAATATACATATATATATATAATATATACATCAAACACTTCCATATACCTGAACTGAAGCCTTACCGTTGCGTTGAGCGTCCTGCTCCCAATTCAGACATCCTCAGGTCTTGAGTGGAACGTCCACCCTGGCCGAAGTGGGCCTGGAGGACGGCGACACGGTGAATGCGGTGGTGCGAAGGCCCACCTTGGCCTCCTCCATCCGATGCCCCAGCTTTGCGCCTGTTTCCCAAGGGCTCGGACAAAGGGCCGGTGAACTCGCCAGTCACATGTCCACATGTCTGTCCATTGTTCGTGGATGAAGAATTCCCTAGATTTAATGTATGATTCATTCATTTTCATGCTTGTCGCTTTGCTTCACTCAAGAGGGAAGGGCTTTTTTCACGGAGGATGGATGGCCTTCCTATTCAGTCTTGCTGGGGTGTAAGTGGCGTCGGTCCCATCATTGGATGGTCGTTGCTTCCGAAGCTTCCTTGTATCTTCCTTGTGATGTATGATTTGTCAATCTCTTTTCATGGGCTGTCACAACATAAGACTCTTTAGAGGACCGAGGTAGCTTTGCATAGAAATCCCAGATTTAGAATTTAGACCCTGAATTCTAGGGTGGCTAGGACTAAGATGGTCTTTTGGTGGAATCACTTGATTTCTTCTCAAAAAAAAACACCTTGGAACATTTTGCCTAGACCGTTGCGCAGAGTTGTGCCGTCCCACCGTTCATCTCTGGCGGAGCCGCCGACCGTTCAGGCTCGCGGAGCCTTCCGCCGTTTCTGTCACCGAGACGTCCATCGCTCAGGTGCTGATCCAGGGGGATGGAAGTCTGGTCACCTGGGGTGCTGGATCCTCCACCTCTCAGCCACCTTGTGTGCAGCAAGTGGCCTTGTCAGAGACCGCCTGTGCAGCGGTGCGGGAGGCCGGGGATGTGGTGACTTGGGGCGAAGCGAAGCAGTGTGACACTCACCTGGCCACTTGGACAAAAATGCATTGAAACACAATATATATATATATATTTATTCAATACTATAATGTATATATATAATATATAGTATTATATTATATTATATTGTATTATATTATATATTTGTATTTGGAGTTCATGTTGGGCAGCGTTTGAGGCTTTTCTCCTCAGGCTGGCTGGATCTTTGTGTATGGACGACAAATTATATCCATTAGTTAGCCAGTCTGGTGAGCAACAACCATGGATCGAAGGGAGAAAGTCTGAGTAAATGTATACAAGTAGTGATTCAGACTGTTCTGTTCGGTTCGGTCAGCAATTGTTTCGGGACAGTGTTTGGAATGACATTTTGAGCATAAATTACACCTTAAGGATCCTGAAGAGACCATTTTAACACTGTCATTCCTTTGCCGAGGTCCAGAATCATCTCAAGAATGTGCGAGAAGTTGTCGCTACAGGACATGCTTTCGCAGCACTGAGGGAAGATGGCGAGGTGGTGACATGGGGGCATATTGTCAGCGGGGGCGAGAGCAACCAAATCCGGAACAAGCTTCATGCAGTTCGACAAATCGTGCCCAAGCTAGTATGCGTTATTTTTGCCGTGTCAATGTGCATTTTCTTGTTTGTGCTTTTCTGTTGGGTTCTTGTTGCATCACCACTTCGGTGACTTTGTTGTTTGGTAATCTTTGGTCCTTTTCTCGGCGTTTTGTTTGTTCTTTTCTGTCTTCTCCTCTGCTTTTGGCTTCATAGGGCACAAAACCGCTAGTTGCCAATTAAATAGACAAACACATGTTTGGGCCAGCCTGACAGTGTCCAAACGGTTTTCGTATTCCAATTGCCATGAGGCATCTTCCATGCACGCGTTTGCAGCGCTTCGAAAAGATGGAAGTGTAGTGACTTGGGGAGAAAACGAATCTGGTGGTGACAGTTCCCTGGCTGCGCCCAGTATGTTTTTCTGGCTCTTGCGAGTGACCTTTGTATTCTTCTCGGGAGGTTTATCAAGCTGTATGAAAGAGATCACTGTAGATCGTATGAGATTCGTTCCCTGTGACCATGCTTTAGAAGTGGGATACCGAAATCAACGAACATAGACGCATGGTCCGTAAGGCCTCTTCACGATGACCTGAGTGTTCTTGTAGATAGGCGGGACACACTGACCACTGGCCAGTTTGGCCGTCGCAGGTTTTCGCCTTTCCGACGTTCAAATCACCGAGGTTCAAATTCAAATCACATCACCCACTTCGGAAGCAAAAGATCCCCCTCTCCAACAGGTTTCAACACCCGCGAGATGATTCGCCCTTTCTCGAAGCCTCGAAGCTCACCGCCCCGTGGCTCTTCGCCTTCGCTCACCGCCCCCGGACCGAGATCGCTCGACACCGAAGCGAGATCGCGCGTTCCGCGTCGAGGCAGCAAAGTGCAAGCCCAGCTCCGCGAAGTCCATGCGATCATCGGCGCGGATTTCGCCTTCACCGCCGTGTTGTTCGATGGCAGCGTGGTCACCTGGGGTGATGAAGCCAGTGGCGCTGATAGTAGCCATGTACAACAGGACGAAGCCTGTGAACGCCCCTGAAAGTCTTGGTTTGATGATGCATGATGATGCATGACTTGTTCATACTTTTTCCATCCCAAAACAATTGAGGGTTCATATAGTGCTTGCTTCTTTTTTCTCTCTTTTCTTGTGCTTTTGGTGCTTGGGCCCACCGTCTCCATCCTCTCTCATCCTCTCCGCCCCGTGTCCTTCGAAGGATCTCTTCGCGGTGAAGCAGGTGGTCGCCACTTGCGACGCCTTTGCAGCGCTTCGAAGCTCGGCCGCGCGAGCAGGGCGGGGTGGCCACGAACGCGCTGGCGCTTCGGTCGTTTGGTCGTCTGGGGGATGGATGAAGCGACGAAAGTCTGGGTTACTGAAGTCTGAAGATGTCTGAAGAGGAGTCTTCCGAAGTGAGGTCTAGCAGATCTAGCAGCTACTGCACTCCAGTAACTAGCTCTGGGCTTAGTGCAGAGCACTCTAGTCTTCTTGATTCGAAGTGTGAAAGTGATCGAGTTCATGGTGGCACTGACAGAATATGACAGAATGTTTCGCACAGCGAGCACAAATAAAACAAAAAGCTACTAGGAACAGAGGGCATCGCTACTAGGAGCAAGGACGCTACTAGGGGCTCCTGGCCTTACTACTAGGAGCAATGTTCGCTACTAAGAACAAAGGGCATCGCTACTAGGAGCAACACAATTTTTGCCTCTTGGGTCGACCTGAGTCGACCTGTTTTCAGATGCCTCTCTCACTGCAAGCTTCAAGCCTTACGGAAGGGCTATATAGTACTGTAGTGCCGCCTCCACCCATCCACTTAATTTTGTACAAGACATTGCAACACAAGTTTTGTGAGATGTACATAGACGCCTGTTATTTCAGCCCATTCGAGAAGGGGGCAGTCTCCTAAAGAGGGTCTGTTGAGTTCTCGATCTCCAAGTACCTAACTATCATTGCCAATCCCACCTTTCAAAAACTCCAACACCAACCTTTAAACTATCCAAGCCGTACCATACTTTATATAGTTTTCTTCCTACAAGTCTTCCTACATTATCCCTACCTGTTCGTTAGTGATTCGCTCCCTTCCCCCTTTTCAGGTCAGGATGGCCGTGTGGTCACCTGGGGCGACGGCGCCGCGGGCGGCGACAGCAGCACGGTGCAGGAGCAGCTGCGAGGTGTCCGGCAGGCCGGGGCCTGCTGTGGGGTCTACTCGAGTGGCTCTGGAGTTTTTCTTTCCTACTTGATCAAGTGGTGTTTTTCCTACTTAATTAAGAGACTAAACACGCTACTAGCATCTACTAGCTACTTAACGGGATACCTCATGCTCGCGCCAATGATTTGGTTACCTAAATTGAGACCGTGCCTCATGGACGTCGAAAACTTGCGTCTGAGTTTTTTTCTTGTGTATTCTTTTGTGCTTTCGCTCGTGTCAAAGCATGTTTTCGCCAGGTTGGGAGACCCGACGTGACGTGATCGTTGGACGTCCATTTTTTGGTCCAAGGGGCGCCAAGGGTCCGCGGTCCCAAAAATCTCAAAAGAACAGAAGTCTGAAACGCCCAGTGGTCCCCGTTCCATTGGTATGGACCTGCACGGTGCCCTGCAGCGATGCTGGGACTCCTTGAGCAGTCCGTCAGTACCTGCGCCCTTGGAGTGGGAGGATCCCGCCAAGCTCACCCAAAGCCATCTGAGCAGCCTGCTGAGCAAAACAGCTCTGGACCGGCCGAGCTGGTAGTGATGATGTGTGTCGCTTCCACGCTCATGCGGTTGATGCTGCTGCAGTGCTGGGGCTCACGCCTTCGCTGTCGTAGGAAGCCGCCTGGGAGTCGATGTGGGAGGAGCCTGCCGTTTCTGTGGCAAAACTCTGGACTGCACAGGCCGGCATGCTTTGAGTTGCATGGCGGGAGGTGACCACGTCGTCCTTCACAACAGCCACCGAGACCTTGTGTTTGACTGCTGCCAGCGGGCCCAAGTCCGACCGCTCCTTGAAGCGCCAGGACTGGTCGGCCAGCGACGACCTGCTCTGCAACTCACCTTGTTGCTCGCTCGCCAGATGGGACACAGCCCCACAGCCAGCGTGCCCTGGCCTTGGACTTTGCTGTTGTGAATGCCTTGGGCGACAACCACTGGGATGAAACACGCCAGTCGGCTGGCTCGGCCTGCTTAGCCTATGCCCTTGGTGCTGGAGCCGTGAATCACTTCCATCCCTCGACTTCATGCGATTGCTGCTTGAGCTTTGTCCTTGCCATGATGTCCACTTTCTCTGCGGTCCTGACCGGTTTTGTGTGAGGTTTTCTTCCTCTCTGAAGGAGTGTTTTTTTCCTCACTCGTTGCATGCCTTTTGGCCAGATTGATGCCCAGCTCGGCGCGGCACTGGTAATGGCCTGTCGCGTTTTTTTGGGGGGCCGGCGGTGTTTCAGTTTGCGCCATCGTTTCTCTGGGGCTGGTGTTTGTCGTGCCTTTTCGTTTCTCACCCGCTTCGGACTCAAGTTCACAGATGACTCGCTCCAAGATGGGGTATTTGTGAGTGATGATGTCCTTCAACCACAGCACCCGTCTAGAGTCTAAATGATCTAAATGGCTCCGCAAGATGAGGACTTGCCTGGCCTCAACGACTCTAGAATTTCAACATATAGTTACTATATATAGGAATTAGAATTATTCATGCTTGATCTAAAAGATTGGGAGACTGAAACATGTGGGGACAAAAGACAGTGCATCCTCACAATGCCATCCATCACCGTATTTATCTCACATGGACTCGACAGGTCTCATCCTAGAATATCCCCCGCACTTCTTCTTGGAGCAGCTCTGATTGTGTTGTTTTTCGCGTAGCCTTTGAAAGGCGTGCTGTGCCGTTGACAAAGGAGGATCTTTTTGCCTATCCTAAGTGTTCGTTCGTGACCTTCCGCCTTTCCATTGTTGCGGCAATGTGTCCTTGAATCAAGGACAAGACACATTTTCAAGTTCATATCACAGCTAGTCATACCATGTTTTATCCAGACAGACAGTTAGAAAATCCTCTAAAGTCAAACGGATTGGAATCAAAGACCACTCCATGTTCCTCCCCCCAAACAACCCAACATCCAAGGCCGTCTCTTCAGACGTCTTCAGACCTCAGGTCTTTGCCTCGTCGAGGGCCTTCGCTGCAGTGCGTCACGATGGCAGTGTCGTGACCTGGGGTGATGAGGCCTGCGGTGGCGACAGCAGCCCCTCGGCCGGATTCGGACCGAGGAGACGACGCACATGGCAAGACCGTGGGGCGAGACCGGACGGGGAGATAATGCTGCGACCTGGGGGGAACATGAAACTTGGAGGTCAGGGAGACGGATGGAGACGGGGATGCAAGGTTCAGGTGAAGATAGCCTAGAATTTTGGGCCATGGACAGGTAATGAGGGTTTAAACACTACATAACTATATTATATATATACACATAATTATATACATAAAGTAAAAGTATATGAATCACCATGCCGAGAAGGTCTATATGGGACACATCTCCTGGGAACTACATGGATACATCGAAGAAAGGACATCAAAGATAGAGAACATACCTTTACCAAGCCAATAGGGCAATAGGGGGGTTGTTGATCCTACCTTTCCATTAGTAGAATATAGAGTTTGATAGAAACGCCGGTGTATGCGGGAATAGCTCTACGGGAGACACACACTCAACCTGTTGCACAGCGCCCTCCCAGCACCCGGAAAAATCCGGGCCTTTGTTCTGCCGTTCTCGTTTACGCAGATCCCCATCCAGGCCAGGCACCCAGGCCCATCTCAATGTGAAGGAGTCCTGTTCAGCTGGTGGGTGTCCACCGACTTTCTGCAACTTAGCAGGCTGCTAACAGGGATCCTCTTTACAGACCGAACAAAACAATGAGTCTTTCGTTTTTCTTCTATGTTCTATTTAGCCTCGTTCTGGGCCATCATCATATCACAAAGGAAAAGCACTCAGACTCAAACAGTTCGACTTTCGATGAGGTCGACCGCACGTGACCGGCTGGACACCGGTCGACCGCACGTCGCCTCCGTCGGATCCAGGTTTGGTCCAAAGCCAACTGCAGGGCGTGCGGGAGATCGCGGCCTCCTCGCAAGCCTTCGCGGCCATTTTAGACGATGGACATGTGGTCACCTGGGGCAACAAGGCCTCCGGAGGAGCTTAAGATTGAGTGGGAGATGTGAGATTTTGGTGTGGTGTCGTAGGTGTTGTTGTAAAGGGATTCGAACATATTCGAACCGAAGAAGTCATACGGAAGTGCACAGGGAACATGTCAACGCCAAACCATCGTTTCCCATAGTCGAAAGTACACATGACTCCATGCAAATGAACACTTGCCGTTACCTGCGACCACATGGATATAAGGGTCAGAAAAGCATGGAAGCACTTTCCTTTGAAGCATTCATTCACTTGCTCAGGTAAAGGAGAATTTGCTGTCCCGCAGATGGCCCTACTGTGTTGACAGTACTCTTTAGTGCGTTTCAAACGTTTGTTGACTGGAGGAGATAGCCAACGTGTTCAAGGGGAACTCCATTCTGTTGAACAAGTTCAAGGTGCTCTGGCTGAAGGCTGAAGGAACAGATGGGCCAGGTTTTTGATACACTGTATCTGCAAAGGGCTGTTGGATTCTGCTTCTATGTGAAGAGCACATAAATATGATATAACTTGAACATGTATTCAGGAAGAGGGCTAATCATCATAAACTAGAGTCCAGTCTCAAGACAGCAACCCTGATCGGTGTTGTTGTTGGGCACCCATGCCATTGCTGATATCTATCGACAAATCAATCAACAGAGCAGCCCATGCTGCATGCCCAGTTCCAATACCTCAAGTGGATGAACAAGGGCTCCTACAGTGCGAGAGAAGCCACCAATATATCCATAAAGGTTCCTCATCTCGCGCCCCAATCGCAGCTGCTTGTAGAAACTGGATGCTGGAGACTTTCCATGTGAATTTTCGGAAAAGAACGGCACTCCTTTCTTTATTTCGGCCGTCTCCAGGTCTTTTCAGACCGTTTACACCTCGGTTCATCCACCTCAACATCCTCATGATCTCAACGATTCCGTTCGTCCTCCGTTCTCAGCGCTTCAGGTTCCCGAGGGGCTTTTGCCGCCTTGCGAGAGGATGGTAAGCTCATCACATGGGGACATGCAGCTTTTGGCGGTGGCCTGGCGTGGCATGGGTGGTCTGGTGGGTTTGTGAGAGGCAGAGCGCCAATGGCATGACTTTCTTCGTCGCAAGCAGAGACTCAACTTGTGCTCCACCCAACGAACATCCACCCCAAATCTCCGAGAACGTCCAGGAGCCTTTGAAAGCTGAGAGCTTCTGAATACCAGGGTGCCGCTGTGTGTTTCCTTTGGTTGGAGGCGGAGGAGTGTGTTTCCAGTGAATTGGCCAAATTGGCTCAACATGTTCTATCATTTTCTGGTCTGCTTTGGTTGGAGTCTGTGGCTGGAGTCCCTGATGATTGGAACTCAATTCTATAAAATCCGTCTGTGGTGCATGTATCCAAGTTCATGGGACGATGCACAGTTGGGAAAAGATTCAGGGGTCTGGGAGGCTCTGCTATAGTAGTACGTAAACCGTTGACCTAACTTCGACCTCGGGCGCCGCCCGATGACTCGCCCGTTGAAAAGCAACTTGATGACTCACGTGGAAGAAGAGATTCATAGCTGCCACAGTGCCACGTTTGGGTTTGGGCAAAACGACGAACAGTTCCACGATGTTCCACGCTCTTTTTTCCTGCCCTGTCATCGATCCTGGGAGACGCTTGTCCTGTCATCCTGGGGGACATTTGTGGTCCAGGGTTCAGCGGAAGCGGAATATTCTCGTTTCTTGCCCCCCAATTAAAACGACATGCCAGCTGAAGCTGGGATAGACCCAAAGAGTTTGTTTCTGCTGCAATTCTTTTAATGGAACACGTTATATAGTTTTCCGCGGTGTATTTTCACGAAACCCCTGCGTCTGAGTGGATATTGGCACACGCACGACAATACGGAAAATGGCCAAAGTGAATCAAAGTGAAGATTCCGGGATCAGAATCCAGAATTGTGATGTCCTTAGTCCCTTTGCAAGCACGGCTTTTCAAGTTCTCACCCCCGTCAGCTTTGGTCGACTTAAGGCAGTGGGCCGCTAGGAAGCTGATGGCTCGGCCCGGTGGGCGCACGATGGGCTCGGCCCGGAATGGAACACAGCAGATCAAGGGAGATGAGGGACTGGAAATGACACGAAATGCATCAATCATTGCGGCTATACATTATATAAAAATGTACTGTAATGTCTCTGTGCTGTTGGAAATGAACAGTTTGTGCACAAACACGTCTCGGTATACATGTATATAAGGAGCCACGGTCTAAGATGCTTAAGACATCTTAAGACTCGTTTTTTGGCTTTGGAGTTTGTTGCAAAAACCGATTCAACGTGACGTGTTTCTCTCATGGAGATTGATGGCACGATGACAGAGGCGATCTAAGTGACTAAGCCACTCATTTCTCGAGAACAGATAAAATTGGAGAAATCGCATGTGCATGATCAAAACGGCTGCATAATTTAACCAGAGAACGACTTTCATGTTCAGGGCATGTATATACATTAAACGCTACTTGTAGCTCCTGGCCTTACTACTAGGAACAAGAAGCTACTAGTAACAAAGGGCATCGCTCCTAGGAGCAAGGACGCTACTAGTAGCTCCTAGGAGGCTCCCCTTTTGAGCCAACGGGGATGTTTCTCCTTGGCCGGAGGCCAATCCCTCAGGTCCTTTACGGGATGTTTCATAGACGAAAGAGGGTTCAGTTCGTTTACTTTTATAGATTCCTTAAGGGATCGAATGGGTTCGAAATGTAGCACCAGCACATGACAGTACTTGTGTACAGTTACGTTTTTTTTTTTTCTGAGTTTTGTTGAAGACCTCCCTTTCGGTCACGAAAAGGCCCCATCCAGCAGTTCGTCGCCGGCGTCAAGCGTTCAACAAACTTTCAATCCGTTTGCTCCAAAACAGTTTTGAAGGACAACACGGACTCGACACAGACAGTCTTCACACGGTTGAAAAGACACCTTCCTTTCCCTCTCCCTCTCTTGTTGAATAGCAAATGTACAGTCCTGGAAGCCTTTATTATGCACGTCATTGGGTATTTGTGTTTTGGCACATCCTTATTCCTTCGTTTATGTAGCACTGTAGCCATGTTCGCTTGTAACGAACTCTGGGGCTTCTGAGCTACATTCCAACACGACGACGACGCAATATCGACGAGGCAATTTGAGGGTATTTAGATGTATTTAGGGTCCTTTGGCACATCTAGACTAAGAGAATATTCAAGACCGCTTCACACCATTTGGCCCTGGGCCTGCTTTCCAACATATTTTGAGAGCATGGGGCACAAAAGGCTTTCAAGGGTTTACTTGAGTGGATGTAGCTGGCGTTGGCACGCGGACATTTACCAGCAGCAGGGTTGCGGATCGTGGCAGAAGCAAAAGGCCCAGCGAAGAGATGCGAAAAGTAGGAGGGCAGTTTTTGAAATGGTTGTATCTCGTTTGCTCGTTTATACAGATCGAAATACAGCATTGCAGAGCCCCCTGAACCAGGGAGTTCAGAGGACGCACCCTGAGACTAGTTGGTAACACCTGCTGCTTGCGTCCAATTGCATTTGCTTGTAGATACAGTAGACTGTTTCAATCTCAAGGTCAGCACAGCATGGTCTGTGGGTATCCAGGCATGGGTCTGACAAGACCTGTGCCATTCAATTCCCAGTGCCAACAAACATGGCTATGCCCAGTGCCCATGAGCAGCTTCGCACGACGTGCACATGGGTATAATGAGTAGTCTGTCAGTCTTGCACCATGCGTCGAGCATCCTGTTCTCAACACGTCTAGACCATCCGACAAAATCGGGGAAGACTGAACGTGGGATGGGACACCTACATGAAACCTACATAACTGATGGGGGCCGACCCATTCTAGCTAGGGTATGTCCTTAGGCTAGACACCAGATTTCATTCGCTAAGGATTCCTGTTATTTCAACCGCCAGTGTGACATAGTGTGAACACCCGAAGAGCTGGAAAGCTGTACAGCTGGAAAGCTGAAGCTGAAAACGTGTGCTGACCTTGCCACCGAAACTTTTGAATTCAAGGTCCGAGCTCCAGCCAAGCTGAAGCTTGGGAGGTTGTGAGAAGGCCAAGTTCATGTTGATTCTGCCCCATTTGATGGGCAGACTACACAGGCACCTTAAACTTCAACGACTAGACTAGAACCAGCTGAACAGACGCGTTTTGCCTGGACGTTTGGCCACCGGTTTCAAGGCCCCCTTAGGGAATGAGACCAGAAGATATCAACTTGAGTGAGCCGAACAAAATGAACCGAGTCGTCTTCGGGTCGGCTGCGGAGAGAATCAGTGAGAGACAGACACCTGGCTGAGAAAATATGAGAAAATCACTCAGAATCCGTCAGGCCCTTTGATACCCTTCGATACGCGGCCAGAGTGGGGCCTTTTCAAAAAGGACTCTTCGGTCTCGCGGGGATTCGGCATCGCTGGCCCAGGCTTCGGCTTCTGCACGTGCACCTCCCAGTGCTGGCTTTTTCCTGGATGAGGTGGATGGGGATCCAGAATGATCCAGACCCCTACGTCGCTTCGTGGAAGGTAACAGACCTGCTACAAGATGGTTGCCGACTACTTTGGGCGAACATCATCAAAGTCGTTCAAAGTCTAAACTGATTCCATCACCCCCGTGCCCGACTGGCGTTTGTCTTCGTTTGAAGAGAGATTATCAACATCAAACTCAAGTGATCAAAAGTGGAGAATCGGTGTCCCGAGGCAACAGCAGGATTGGTCGGTATCCCCTAGGATGGTTACCACCAGATGCCTATCGAGCCTTTGTGCGCAGGTGACAGGCAGCTCAACACCTGATAGTCTACAGCTTAATGCATGTTGAGACCACCCGGACTGAGCTTGTTCCTAATCAGACACTCATAGAAAACCGCGTTTTCTTTGTTCCTGCTTGAATGTACCACACCTCAGGTGTGCTCATGGACATGCAAGTTGCGTTGGAACGTTGGAAGTTTTAGGAACCTGCACTGAGAAGAGCCGCATATGTGTTTTGCAGCTCGGCTTGGTTTCCTTTTTCGAGGCATCATGCATCCAAAGCTGTGCCTTTGCATGGATAATAAGCTTCAATTGATACTTAAGTTATCTTGTAATAAATATATGAAGAACATAATAATATGTATATATATATATACTAAAATGTAAAGGCAGAGTTTTCCAGAGGCACACGAATAGAACCATGCAGAGAGACAGAAGCAAGGTCTCACGTTTTCTGTTTTCGCCATGGTTGCACTGCGGTTGTCACTGTTGCGCTGTCAGCAAAAGATAGATGGAAGGCACGAGGCTTCGCTCCAGTCCAAGGGATGGTTCATCCTCAATCCTCAAGAAAGGTGACTGGGTGGATGCAGTTACGAGCTGAACTGGGGGTTCCGCTGGAGTGAAGGGGAGCGAAAGAAGTGAAGCGATACCATGAGAGGTGGTGCCGGATCCTCCGAATGCACATGCCTAAAGCGCCTAACGTGCCTAGGCCGAGTACCTGCCATGGCATGATTCGATTAGTCCAATGACGCTGCCGACTATGTTCTGTTGAGTTGGGCAATGCCACAGGCTTTCAGTCTTCACAAGTCTTGGGTTTTAGACGATCTAGGTGGCACCACAGGTCGACTCGCTACGCGTCCGCATATTTCGCATCTGTGGCACTTGATTAAAGCAACATGCACTTTTGTTTCGAGCATGTCCCTCTCCAAACATTCCATACATTCTAGTCTACTTTAATTTCTTATTGATCATCATCGGCATTTTGCCATAGGCGAAGGAGCTGGGCCTGTGGCCGAGAGTGGCTGGCCCTTGACCGTCTTGGAGGATCCAGCGAAGCGCCCAACCCAGCCGTGACCGGACCATGTGGCGGCAAATGGGCGCGACACTGCTTCGTCCCACAGGGGAGATTTCATGGATCACTTGATGCCTAGGGCCTAAGTTGAACTGAGAGTCCGATGTGAACGGTTCAGGGGTTGATCACGAAAGCTAGCACCAGCTAGCTGGAGTTGTCCTTGCTTT